CTGTTCATGTTAGATGAGGAAGAACCAAGAAAACTACATGTCATCAGGCCTCCGCTACCATCTCCGATCTCTTGGGAGATGAGAGGTAAGGACTGGAAATGCTGCAGACAGGCTGAGTCTCCAGCAAGGAGTTGACTGCAGCTAAACTTACTGTCTTAGCTAGGGTTACTACTGCTGTGATGAAACGCCATGACCAAAAGCCTTGGCTTACGTATCCAGTCATAGTCCACAGAGGGAAGTCAAGGCAGGAACTCAAACAGGGCAGGAACCTGGAGGCAGGAGCTGGTGCTGAGGCCATGGAGGGGAGCTGGTTACTGACTTGCTCCTCATGACTTGCTCAGCCTGCTTTCTTATAGAACCCAGGACCACCAGCCCAGGGATAGCGCTATTCACACAGTACTGGACCCTCCCACATCAATCACTAATTAAGAAAATGTTAGGCAGACTTATGTACAGCCTGATCTTATGGAGGCATTTTTTTAATTGAGGTTCCCTCCTCTCAGATGACTATAGCTTAGGCCAAGTTGACATAAAACTGTCCAGCAAAATCAGGTGCAAGGGTCACTATGAGATCCAGGACCCAGCTCTGTTAATCCTGAGCAGAGTCATTGATTTTATATCACATGGTTCCATTCCCTCCCTACATGCCTCCCTTAAATCCTCTTTGTTCCCTCTCTGTGTCCACATTTTGATTTCCTGGTCATGATAGCTTGAAAGAAAATGCCCCCCCATAGGGAGTGGGACTATTAGGTGTGACTTTGTTGGAGTGGGCACAGACTTGTTGGAGGAAGTGTGTCACCATGGGGTGAGCTTTGAGGTCTCCTATGCTCAAGCTATGCCCAGTGTGGACACAGACTCCTTCCTGTTGCCTGCAGATCAAGATGAACTCTAAGCCCCTTCTCCAGTATCATGTCTGGTGGCATGCTGTCTTGCTTCCTGCCATGATGACAATGGACTAAACCTCTGAGCTGTAAGGAAGCCTCAATTAAATGTCTCTTTATAAGAGTTACATGGCCGTGGTGTCTCTTCACAGCAATAAACAACCCTAACTAAGGCAGAAGTTGATACCAAGGACTGGAGTATTTCTGTGATAGGCCTGACTATGTTTTTGTGTGGAGGAATCTGGACTTTGGTACTTTGGGTTAGGAAGCAGTGGAATGCTTTAAGTGCTGCTTAAAGGGACATTCTAGTAGGAGCATAGAAGACAGTGGTGCTAAGTTTGATTTGAGCCTGGGGCGGTAGAGGTGCCCATCTTTAATCCCAGCACTTGGGAGGCAGGGGCAAGTGGATCTCAGTGAGTTCAAGGCCAGCCTGGTCTACAAAGCAAGTTCCAGGACAGCCAGAACTGTTACACAGAGAAACCCTGTCTCAAAAAACCAAAAAAAAAATGTTTTTAAAAAGGTGATTTGAACGTGAGAGCCTGGCTCAAGAGGTTTCAGAGGAGAAAAATATTAGTATGTGACCTAGAAATCACTCTTGTGATATTTTGGTGAAGAATGTGATTGCTTTTTTCCCTTGTCCTAAAAGTCTGCCTGAGGCTAAAGTAAAGAATTTTAGATTAATTGCATTGGCAGAGGAAATCTCAAAACAGCCTAGTATTGACCCTGTCATATGGTTATTAGTGGTCATTCTTATGCAGATCTATAATGAAAAGGAGCGCCGGGCGGTGGTGGCGCACGCCTTTAATCCCAGCACTCGGGAGGCAGAGCCAGGCGGATCTCTGTGAGTTCGAGGCCAGCCTGGACTACCAAGTGAGTTCCAGGAAAGGCGCAAAGCTACACAGAGAAACCCTGTCTCGAAAAAAAAATAAAAATAAAAATAAAAATATAATGAAAAGGAGCAAGCTGAGAAAGGAAAAATGCAACATGTACAATTTAAGGAGAAAGGGGCACCAGGAAGTAGAATAGAGAGAGCTAAATCATGTGTTTGAGGAGATAAACAGATTAAGAAACAGAATAAGGAGAGGTTACCTCAGTGTAAGACCCCACCCAGCTAAGCTTCCATCTTGTGAAAAGGAATTAAAGAACAGCTTAGGTCCAGGAGTGGTGGTGGTACACACCTTTAATCCCAGCACTCAGGAGACAGAGGCAAGTGGATCTCTGAGTTTGAGGCCAGCCTGGTCTGTAGATTGAGTTTCCGGACAGCCAAGCTTAGGCAGTGAAGGATACCATTGGAAACAGAAAACTGGTGAAGATGTAACTCCAGCCCCAGCAAGCAGCAGAACTTGGCAGCTTCAGCCATGTGGTTCTGGCTTTAGAGTCAAGGACAGAAGAAAGGAGTTATGTAATCTTCCTCCAAAACTGAAGAAAGCTGCTGAAGCTAGGCATATGTCAGGGGTGTCCCTGAATGGAGGCCATTGTGTGAAGCTGTGAAGGTGAAACCTGGATTGCCTTGGAGAATCCTAAATGTTGGAGATGCCAGAGTCATGGCATACTGCTGAGGAGAACTGCTAACAGGGAGTGGAACCAGCCCAAGAAAATGAAGTGTGTTGCAGTCAACAAAGCTGAATGAAGCTGGAGATCTGAAGAGCATTTTGACATCAGACATGGAGGTGCAGAGTTTCGAGTTTGCCCAGCTGGTTTTTGGTCTTGCTTTGGTTCAGTATCTCCTCACTATGCAACATTTCCTCTGTTTTAGAATGGTAATGTATATCCTGTGCCATTATATGTTGAAAGTATGTGATCTGTTTTTTTATTTTTATTTTATAGGGTATTATAGTTCAGAGATTGTATGAATCTCAGAAGAGACTTTGAACTTTAGACTTCTAAAGTTTGAGACTGTTATAGACTATGGAGACTTTTGAAGTTGGACTGAATGCATTTTTGCATTATGATATGACTACAGCCTATGGGGGCCAAAGAGTGAAATGTGGTGGTTTGAAAGAAGATGGCCCCCAAAGGGAGTGGGACTATTAGGAGGTGTGGCCTTGTTGGAGTAGGTGTGGCCTTGTTGGAGGAAGTGTGTCACCGTGGGGTGGGCTGTGGGGTGGGCTTTGAGGTCTCCTATGCTTAAGCTATGCCCAGTGTGAACACAGACTCCATACTTCTGCCTACAGCTCAAGATGTAAGAACTCTCAGTGCCTTCTCCAGAACCATGTCTGCCTGCATGCTGTCTTGCTTCCTTCCATAACAACAATGGACTAAACCTCTGAACTGTAAGCAAGTCTCCATTAAATGTTTTCCTTTATAAGAGTTGCCATGGTCATGATGTCTCTTCATAGCAATAGAAACCCTAACTAACACACCTGGTCTCTACCCACATAAATACTCACTCCCACATAAATACCCAAATATAATAATTCAAAGCTAGGATCTGCGCGTGAAAGCTAATGTGTGGTGTATGTTTTTCCAAGCCTAGGTTACCGAACTTAATATAATAATGTCCAGTTCCATTTTCCTGAAAATTTCATAGTTTTATTTTTTTCTTTACAGCTGAATAAAACTCCATTGTGTATACCTGTCACATTTTTATTATCCATTCTTCAGTGGGGAGGGTGAAATTCAATCAAAACTAAGAGTGTATGAAAATGCCATAAGAAAACCAATTACTCTGTATGACTAATTAAAACTTTAAAATAATAACATACTGGGGTAAAACTGACCACCAGTTATTATAAATAAAGTTGTATTGAGCACAGCTAAAATAAAACAAACTTTCATGACAACTGTGGGGTGTTTTCATGGGCAATGTTACCCAATGACCTGGGAAAGTCATTGGATGCCAAGCACAACACACTTAGGCAAGTAGCCCATACTATACACCACTTGAATGGCTGCTGTGGCCTGCCTGAACATGAGAGGTGGGAACAACCATGACTAAAAACCAAACAGAAGTTTCCTCCATGTGAAGGACTTCCATCTTCTACCTACCATCTGGCCAATGTCTCTGCTTGCCTGCCTCAGAATTACCAGAGATGCTAGGTAGAGAAACTGGCTCAGGGCTCACCCCCATCAGGACCAATAAGGAGCCTGGGAAGCTGGAGTTCAACATGCACCCACTCCCAAAGGTAGGTCCGTAGCTTTCAAAGATTAAAGTGTACCAAACACCCTGGGCACAAGGCCCCCGGGACTCTTTTGCATCCGTTCAGATCATCTTGGCTGACTTCTCAAAGTGTACTCCCACCCCTATGATGGCAGCAGCACCTGGTACATGAGAGACTGGAGGGCAGTTCCTCTCTACCCACTGCCCAGGAGAGCCCACATGGCCCAGAGCAGACTGTCTGCTCTCCATATCTGTCCAGGGCAGAGCACAGTTCTTTTGGCATGTGGGATCAGGAAGAACACGTTTAGGTGCACTTAGCCGGAACCCCAGGAGTACCCAGCACCTGTGTGCACTTTTTACCACAGCTGGGCCCCAACTGCTCATCATTTTTCAACCTCTCAATGACACAAAAGCAAAATTCATTCGGTAGAAAACATACCTGCTGGGGTTTACTCTGATTAGCTAGCCAGTCCTCTCAGGACAGCACAGGACAGTCACTTCAGAGTCAGACGGAGCATGCCGTGTGGCTAACAGCATGGACGGGTTAGGGGTTACTCAGAGTGTTCTCAGCTTACAATGCTTTTACTTTAAGTGGGTTCTGGAGCTTTGATCGTGTTGTAAGCTGGGGACAAGCTCCCCATTGCTCACATACACACACAGGTTACTGCTTCTAATGATGGCTCAGAACAAATCAGGGACCCCCGGAAGGTGCCTTTCAGGTTGGCGTGGACATACGTGTTTTCCTTCTAGTCCCAGCTGCCGTGAAGCACTCAGAGCCTCCCACACCTTTGCCACTTTTACTCCAGTTCTACTTGACCCCTGCTCCTCCTCCCAGCCCAGGTCACACTCATCCTCTACAGCACTTCTCTGGAAAGATGGCTCTCTCTCCAGACACAGGCTGGAGTGCTTGACCCCCTGGGGCCCTCCTGAACTTTGGTCTCATTTCCCAGTGACAAAGCCATCCTGGTGAAGGTGGACCAGCATCCTTTGCTGTACTTTCTCTGGGGCGCGCGCGCGCGCGCGTGTGTGTGTGTGTGTGTGTGTGTGTGTGTGTGTGTGTGTGTATGCATGAGTGTGTACTTGCATATGTGTGTGTGTGCATGCATGAGTGTGTGCATGCACACATGTGAGTGTGAAGGTGACAGGTCAAGCTCTGATGCCAATCCTTCATCCCCATCCATTTTGCTTTCTTTGAGACAGGGTCTCTCACTGAGACATAGACCTTACCTATCTAACTAAACAGACCCAGGAGGGATCCTCCTTTCTCTGCCTCCCCAAGACTGGGATTGCGAGCAAATGTCACCACACCTGGATATTTTACATGGATTCTAAGGACCGAACCCAGTCGTTCATGCTCGCAGGGCACGTAGTTTACTGACTAGCCTGCCTCCCCAGCTGCCCACTGCTGGACTTCTTCCACTCCCTCAGATTCCTCTACAGAAGAGTTTCCACAGAGGAGGTACTCAGTGTGAACTGGATGGCAGTGAGATGGGACAATCACAGAAGTCCAGACTTCATGTTGCCACGTGTTTGAGAAGAAGCTCTTGGGAGGGTTAGTCACTCACTGGTCCAGCACTTAGAGTGAGCTGTAGGTCCTTTGCAAACACAGGAAGCAGTGGAGTCCCCCTGGAAGCCAAGTTTCACGACTGCCCTGTCCCCAGGGAAGTTCTCCAAACCCACTCTGTACAGGGAGAGAAAGTTCAGGCTTCAAGCTCCACAGACATGAGTTCAAGCCCTCCTCCACTTCCTAACATGAATATCACCATTAACCTGCAGGGGCCTCAGGCACGATTCATCGGGCTCAGGTCAGGAGAATCTGCCTCAGCACACCCAGATCTTCCCTTTCCCTTCTTTCAGGAGGACAGACACTGCCTGCGGGCTGAAGAGTCAAGGAGAAGAAGAGGGAGTCTCAGCTGTGGCCAGAGGGACCCCTTGCAAAGCAGTTCTGGAAAAGAAAGCAACAAGAGAGAAGGAAAAGAGAAAAGAGACTCTTGTCTGCAGCCTCAGCCCCTGGGAGGCAAACTAAGAAAGTTCACAGCCAACCTGGGCAACATAGCATACCTTTCTCAAAAAAAAAGAAAAGTTGGTTTTTGTTTGTTTGTTTTGTTTTTGTTTGATTGATTGATTTTTCAAGATAGGGTTCCTCTGTGTACCCCTGGCTGTCCTGAAACTCACACTATAGACCAGGTTGGCCTTGAACTGGGATCTGCCTGCCTCTGCCTCCCAAATGCTGAGATTAAAGGTGTACACCACTGTGCCCAGCTCAAAAAAAAAGTTTAAAAGGGAGAAATGAAAAGGGTTACTTTAATATTTTTCCAGAAATGCAAATAAAGAATTGAATTGACAATCCTGTGAAGGGCTTCAGTCTGGTCCCCATCTACCCCTTTGCCCCAAAAGTAAACCAGAGCCCAAAATGTGGCCAAAGGAACTCAGTTCCAAGGGGACACCCACCTGAAGCTCACATTTTTTTTCAAATTCTGTTCAACAGCAAAGGAGCCCGAGCCAGGGTCACAAAGGTGGATCTGTCACCGGGAATCTCCGCCAAGAGGAGCCACTGCAAGGGGTCCAGCCTGCAGCAGAGTGGAAACCAGAGAGGGGCCCTCTGGCCCGGGGCTGCTGTCTAAGTCTGCAACTCATTAAGACTGAAGGGGACCGCTGAATGAGGCCTTTGTGGGTCAAAAGCTCTCCATTGGAAACCCAGCCAACTAACCCCACAAAACTGGCTTCACAACTCCTCAGGAGAAAACCATCACCACCTCAAGGACTGAAGACTTTTGTTCCAGACCTGTGAACCCCAGAGACTCGGGTTACCAAGGGGTGACAAGCAGGGCCTGTTGAGCTCACGGTTGTCCAGGTGTGGAGAAGCCCAAAATAACACACCAGCATTGAAGACAGAGCACTGGGAAGCCCAAACAGCTCCCTCCTAGGTTTTATTTACTGAAAAAGACACACAACCCACCACACCCAGTAGGACCAGACTAGAATAGGAAGTTGAACACAGACCACGGACACCTCCCTCTGATGGAAGTGAGCCTTTTCGGCTTTCCTTGTGTCGACATGGGAAGACAACAGACACACTGGTGTCACAAGCAGAGCATGAATTAGAAACACCCAGAACTTTGCAAGCTCACCACACCCAGACCCAGACCCAGACCCCACAGATTCTCACCTGGGTGCAGTTTTTAAGGCCTTTCTGGGCAGAATAAGTTAAATGGTGTCCGTGACCCAAAATGTATCTGCCCTGGACCCTAGAACATTACTTGTTTGGACCAAAGATTAAGGTTAGGAGCACTAGCTGTCACTCCCATGCAGATGGACTCTAAGGCCAGCATCTTGATGAGAGACAGGAAGAGGACCAGAGCAGAGGCAGTGGATGAGGGGTTGAGACTGGATGATGCTGGCTCAGAATGTGGCAGCCCAGGGCCGCAAGTGCCAGATCCTCCCACACATTTATGGGTCCTGCACCACCTGGTCCTGTCTTTGGGAGGTGAGCCTGAAGAAAACCACACCTCAGTGACTCTAGGGATGCCCAACATTCTAGGTCCCTGGAGCCTCCAAAGATGAGGTTCGTCTGGAAGCCAGGGTGGCTGGAGCAGAGAAGACTCTAAAATTCTGCATACATACCTCTGCAGACAGCAACCTGGCTGTGCTCCAGGATCTACCTCATAAAATTCTAGTCTGGGCCCTGCAAACTCTGGCGTGGTTGTCTGAGTGGTGCACCATGCCGGGGAATGTTTGTAAGAGATGCCCATGCACTCCTGATGTGCAGTCAGGAGTGTGAGCAGCGGCCAGAATATGAGACACTGGAGAACAGCGGTTGGCTGGGTCCACACGGAATGGCCAGGGTGGGCTGCTGGGCCCCAGGCCTGTGTCACCAGCTTTTCTGTAGTCTGATGGGTCCTCTGTCTGGTTACCTGAGAATGCCTTGGGTATGTTTTATACTCAATTGAATGGTGTTTGGATCTGTGTATCCTGGTGTGACGGTCAATGCTGTCTACTTGGCATGACCTAGGGTCACCCAGGAAGCACTTCTGGACATGTCTGTGAGCAGTTTCCAGGTTAAGTTAATTGAGGTGAGAAGACCCCCCCTAAACTTAGGCAGCAACATTCCATGGGCTCGGGTCTTAGACAAATGAAAAGGAGAAGCCAAACTGAGCACCAGCACCCCTCTCCCTCAGCTTCCTGACTGTGGGTGCAGCATGGCCAGCAGCCTCCAGTTCCAGCATCCATGGTTTTCCTGCCATGATGGACTGAACCTGCAAAATGCAAGGGGAATAATTCCTTCCTCCTTAAACTGCTTTGGTCACGGGACTGAGAAAAGTAACCAACACAGAGATGAGGCCACTTCCTGCGTTCCCCTTGGAGAAGAAAGCAAATACCAGCGTTGGTGCCAGACAGGCAGGGAGTACCAGGTCGGAGCTGGTGCAAATCTGAGGAGGTCTGAATACAGGAAGAAGGTCACTAGGGTGGGCTTTGACATTTACACCTGGTTTCAGGCTCTTCCCCTCCGTCTGCTTCCTGTGCACCATGAGATAAGTGATCTTCACGGCATAGTCCCGCCACCAGGGTCCTGCCTCACAAAGACCCAGCCAAGTGACCACAGACTGAATCACGAGCCGAGCAGTAGCGGAGCAGTCTTGCTACATTGTTTTCAAGTTGTAACCAAAGTATTTGGTTACAGCAACACAAAAAGTAACTAAAACGCTCAGTGACTGGGCCTGGAGATGTGAATCAGTGGGAAGAGCACTCACCCCAGCACCCACAGGCCCCAAGTTTGATCTCGAGCATCACATAAGCCAGGAGTAATGATACGGACCTGTAATCCCTTCACTGGAGGGATGGAGGCACAAAGCCCGGGAGTTCAAAGTTGTCCTTGGTTATGTAACAAGTACAAGGCCAATCTGAAAATCACGAGACCTTGTCTCAAAGGAGAGAAGGAATTCAGTCGACAGGAGCCACAATGATCACCTCTGACTCTGACACTGTACTGCATGGTATAGGCTGGATGGTCCCTGAAAATCATACGCGGTCATCTTAAACCTGGCACCTCAGAAAGTGACGTTGTTTGGAGTTAAGGTGGACTGACAGGTTGGAGAGATCCCCTAACCAATGTGACTACAGGAAATGGGAAGAGGGCACCAGAGGTGACCCCACCAGGAGAAGGCAGCCCTGTAGGCAAGGAGGGGTCTCAAGAGCCCAGCCCTGCTCACCTGGACCTTGGACTCTGGCATGCAGGACTGTGGATGGTACGGATGATGGTTAAGCCCCGCGTTTGGGGCTCGTTGACTCAGCCAAGCCAGGCTGGAACACTGAGCACCCTCACATGGGGCAGTACCTGGTCCTTGTGACAATTTTATACATTTTGTTGTTATTATTCCATTTTGCAATGAAAAGAATAAAGTCTTTTAAAAGGAGTTCGCTGGCCTGTCCAATGCACACATTCAGCTAATATTCAAGCTAGGATGAAGCTGGAGGCCGGTCAGCAGCAAAGGCCAGACAAGGACTCAGTGCTAGGTCAGCGGCTGAGGGATGTTCCCCTCCCACAGGGATCCAAAGCCTTCAGTGCTCACAGTTTCTCACCCTGAGCCCAGAACAGGGGTTTGGAACCCTCTTACCGTTACCTTACCTAAGCGGTCTTTGTTTGATGGTTAAGGGCAAGAGAGAAGGTTGCCGTGGTGACATCAGAGTCCCAGTGAGCGAACAGGCAAGGAGACCGCCAGGCACTGGGGAAGATGCTCTGTGGGAAAAGTGCTGAACGAGCATGAGTGCCTGGGTTCAGATCCCCGGCACGCATGTAAAAACGCCAACTACAGCCTGCGGCATGCACCTGTGACATGCAGCTGTGACCCCAGAGTGGACTCGGGACAGAGACAAGAGGACCCTTAGAGCTCCCTGACCAGTCAGTCTACTCAAATCAGTGAGCTCCAGGTCCAGTGAGAGACGAGGTCTCAAAAAAGAAGCGGCGAGTGATTGAGGAAAGATACTTGATGCTGACCTCTGGCCTCCACACACGTGCACACACAGGAACATGTGTACACATATATAGCACACACACATACATATGTATACACACATACACGAGGAAAAAATAAGGGATGGTAGGTAATAAGGGTGTCTTATTTAGGGTTTCTATTGCTGTGAAGAGACACAGTGACCACGGCAACTCTTATAAAGGAAAACATTTAATTGGGGCTGGCTTACAGTTCAGAGGTTCAGTCCATTATCATCATGGCAGGAAACATGGCGGCATGCAGACAGACGTGGTGGGGGCCAGTTACTCGCTAGTGGAACTGAATTTGATGCCTCCTCACATTCTGTTATAAATGAGAGATTTTAGCATTTTTATCAAAAGTAGCTAATTTGATTTTCTGTGCAGAACAGTCGCAGAAGTAAAAACTGTCAAGTCTGCATTTTACAGAGAAAAACCCAGGCTCAGAAAGTCTCCACTCTGCTTTGCTTCAGATCTGTAAATCAGGGCTAACAGATCCAGCCTGGGTGTCACATCCGTGGGAGGTCAACATCACGTCCATTACAATTTCATCACAATGAAAGAGCAAGTTGTATTGAACTAATAATAGTAGAAAAATGAACACGAGAAGATGTCCCTCATCAATGGTGACAAGGCAGTACACACGGGTTCCCTTCACAAACGGAAAGTTCTGACTCCAAGCCCTCAGCAGAGCAATTGAGTGACAGGGAGCCTTGTTGATGTTTCTCTTTTAGTTAATCCATATTTTCTATAGTGGGAAAACATGCATCATTTCAGAACAAAGTTACTTTCTTTAAGTAAAATTTAAAAATATCCCATCACTGAAGGGAGAAATTTTCTTCAGTAGTGTAGTGTAGCCACTGATAAAGCGCCCATGCTCCTGTAATGAGCCCTCATCTAGGCTCCTGCATGCACCTGATGACACTCGCTGGGTCACCAAAACAAACAAGAAAAAGACGTGAAAGAAGAGGAACAGGTGGAGAAGAGGGGAGTGTCAGAAAAACGAGGTAATGGGAGTGCATATAAGCAAAATATACACATGTATGAACGTGGCATACTGAAACCCTGGTTATCCATAATTGATAGATTCTAATAAAGCAATTTAATCCCCTCATTGAACATAATCCCATGGACTCCCTAGAAAATGAAAATCAGAAACCAAACATAGGTCAAAAGTTCAGCCCCAGTGAAAAGAACTGTGTTTGAAGGGTGGCCTTTGACCAAAAACAGCAAACAAGGTCTACAGCTTTGCTTCCCTCCAGCCCCAGGTCCCAAGCTGACTGAATCCCTGACCCTACCTGCTGCAAAATGTAGACACTCAGCCTGGAAAGCATTCTGGTGTGGGGCTGCTCCTTGCAGCAGCTGACGCTGGTGCCAGCTCACTCGCTCAGTCTCTCTCCCCCTCCATCTCTCCCTCCGTCCCTCTGTCTCTCACCAGAGCTCCCATGAGAAGACTGAAGTGTGTTTGGTGTCCACCAAAGGAAGCAGAACATCCTTCTACCTCCCTCGTCCTCTGTGGCCGCGTAGCAACCCACGGTCCATCTCAGAAGAACGTCTGAGTGTGTGGAGTGTAAACGTGAGGAGTTACAACAGAAGCCAGGGCCTTGCAGAGAAAGCAAAGCCTGGAAAGGTAAGAACGGACATCGACTCGTTCGTGGTCCTTGAGGCTTTAAGTCCTGGACAGGTGCTGGCACGTGATGGAGGCCTTCTTATAGCATGTCAAGAGACGGCCCTCCCCCAAGACAAGTCTTGGTCTCTAGCACGTGGTGCTACGAGGGGTTCCTGGTAGAAGGAAGCTAGGCGCTGGAGGTGTGTCTTGAAGAAGACAGGGGACCCTGGCCCATTTTACCTCTCTCTCTTCCCCAGCTGCCCTGAGGTAAGCAACCTCTCCCCGTGTACACCCACCATGATGTGTTGTGCCACCACAGGCCCCAAGCAGCAGGACCACGCAATGGTGAACTGCAACCTCGTCAGCAGTGGATTGCTCCGGGGATTTTGCTGTGGTGATGGAAGCTGACAAGCAGCAGGTGTACTTGTTACTGTCCTGTTGCTGTGATAAACAGGAAGAAGGGTTCCAGAGGAACATCCCTGTGGCCAGGAAGGCACAGTGGCAAGCGGAAAGACAGCTGTACAAAGCAAACAGAGAGAGGGACCATGATGTGGGGTGAGGCTATAAACCATCCAAGCCCGCCCCCAGTGACAGACGTCCTCCAGAAGGCTCTGCCTCCTTCAGGTTCCATAACCTCCACAAACAGCGCCTCCGACAGGGGACTGAGTGTTTAGACAATGAGCATACATGTATATAAGCAAAATGTAAACATGTAGGGGGGATGTGTCTCATTCAGATCACCGTGCAGGACAGGGAAGGGTGTGAGCCAAGGAGCTGACGATCCTAGTACTGTTCTGACAGCCCACTGTTGAAATAACCCACACACTCCCTGGGACACGCTATTCCATCCATGAGGGTGGAGCCCTCCCAACGGAACCACTTCCTAAAGGCCACGCCCCTCAGTGCTATTGCCATGGCAACTAAATTTCAATCTAAATCTTGGAACAGTGGAGGGGGAAACCAATGAGACCGGTGGCGACTGGACAGTCGCTCGGGTGAACAGTGTCTTTGGCAAAGATGGCCTGCCTCTGTGCCCAGACATGAGCCAGGGAAGAAACCAAAGATCTGATAGACCTGCCCTGAGGTGGGGCCCACCACACAGGCGCAGCCGGCTGCCTGCGTCTCCTCTCCACACTGGCCCCTTCCCACTAACCACGAGAAAGCTCACGCATTTCCAAGGGATGCAGAGTGGCCTGTGTGGAGAAGGAAAGCGCCTTCCTTGTTACACCTCATGCCCCTTGTCACTCACATGCCTTAGTACGACACGGGTGTATCCTGCCTGCAGCTGAACGCAGCTTGAGTATGGCTCAACACAAAATCCTAAACCTCTTAAAACATGAGGATTTTTTCTGCCATTTATTTTTTATTCAGTTTCACACTTCTCCAAGGATGGAGTCTGTAGATGACAATGTTGAGTTGCAAAATCAGAAGGCTGAACACACCAGCTGGATCCTGTGTGGAAAATGGCCAGCATCCACCCTGTGTCCCAGAGTGGAAGAGACCCTGACCTAGAGGAAATACCCACAGAAAGGCCCCCCAGTTAAAAAGAACTGCATAAGCAGAAATGAGGACGGCCAGCCACGAAGGACGTCACCCAGCACAGACACAGCCTTGTCATAAGTCACACAGAGGCATGACGATGACTACAGACAGCTGGTCTTGGTGGCTACAGCATCTGCAGCCACGGAGCCAGTTTTCAGTAGTGCCCGGGCACTAGGGAGGAACACAAGCCTGTCAGGGAGTCATCCTGAAACAAAGCGAGGTCAGCTCCGCCCCACAGAGCCCAGGCTGGCTCCAAGGTTCTTCATTCAGTCTATTAAAAGCCTCAAGTTCCCCACTGCATCCTGTTTCTCATTCAGAAAACGGGTTGACCTCAGGCACACTCTCTGTTTCCCTAGGTTGTGTCTGCTTTTTTTCTTGAATGGAATTGTTTGGCTGTTTGTTTTGGTTCCTCTTTGGGGATACCAAGAAAGCCATGTTCCCCTTTTCCTGGTATTAAAAGTGCGTCAGTGTGAGTATGGCAAAAGAAAAGTGAAGACTAAGGCGTGGCCGCTTTGCTCCACAGGCTGGATCGGCAGGCATCTCAGGGTGCCATAGCTCATCACTGTTCTTTGTTTTTTGTTTGTTTTGTCTTATTTTTTTCTACATTTTTCCAACTGTCCCAGAGTGTGTCTGATGGTACATAACAAGAAGAGAAAGGAGACAGAGGCAATGTTATCTTGAAATTCATGAAGGTCGCCACTGGGACACAGAAGTGGAAGGAGCACAAAGCCACCACCCGTGGCAGGGTGGGGGTCCAAGGCCACCCAGAGCCACTGTGTCTTATGAGCAACTGCCCGGTAGAAGAAGTCAATTCTTGGTCATAGCATGGCTCTTTCATGATCCAAAACAGGGACACAGTTCAGTGGTTAGATCATTTGGTGCTTGAAGACCAGAGTTTGAACCCCCAGAACCCACATAAATGACAGGTGGGTATGATGTCCCACCTGTAACTCCAGCTCTCTAAAGGCTGACAGGAGCTCTCCAGAGCAGGCTGGCTAGCTAAACAGCCATATTTGTGAGCTCTGGGTTAATGTCTCAGTGAGTAACAGAGAGAGCAATGGAGAAAGGATCTTGACATCATCCTCAGGCCTGGACATGCACACATACACAAACGCAAACGTGCTTATACATACATATGTATGCATACCACACATGCAGACACATGAAAAGAGTGAAAGAAGCGAAGAAGCTAGCCACACACAAAAATAAAAATAACGGAGTGTAATGTCATCAGATGCCAAGAGGGTGCCAGTTTCTCCTCCCCAGCTTAGCTAGTCATACAGCCAGATGCTGTGAGGCCTGTGTGTCAATGACAAAATCCCTCACCATGGAAGGGTTGGCTGGAGGTAGAGGACAGTCCACCATGGTAGGAAAGACAGCAGCAGGAGTGAGGTGGCTGGTCGCATCGGGTCCACTTAGAAAGCAGAGATGAGCATTCTTGTCCCTCGCTTTCTTGTGGAGGCCCACAAAGGTTCCTAGTGAGATCGGAGCTTGCTTTACCCAGCAGAGCTGCATTAGAGGATTGCTTCACCATGTGTGTGGTTTCTAGGTGATTGGAAGGGTCTACTCTTGGCTGAGCTGGGGGAGGTCTTCGCTCCACTCCTTGGCATTCCTATAAATAGCCTTTTAGAAGAGACAGGAGGGGCCAGTGGATAATAATCCAGGCCCTCGCGAGGCTATCCTGTGTTTCTGTTTCTTTCCCCTCTACCCTTCTATCTAAATCTCTTATTCCTCTCTCCTCAAGAGTTCCCTGGGGTAAAATGTGGGAGTCGGTCTCCCAGCTGGGCTCCCACACTTTCTTCTTTTTATTCAATCTGAAACCCCATCTTCCAGAAGGCTGTTCCTCATATTCATTCCCTCCTCTATTAAAGCCCCCTAAAACACCCTCACAGACATGCCAAGAGTGTATCTCCTGGGTGACCCTACATCTCTCCAGGATTGGCTAAGGCAAGATTGAAGAGGTGGTTCAGAGTGCATGCTGCCCAAGCATGAGATAACGTCTGTGTCCTTTCTCCTACTCCGGATCCCAGCCTCTCTCAGACCCTTCCTCCCTGTGTGGCAGTCCTGCCCTGAGCGTCCAGCTTCCCTGAGAGCTCTGCGCTCCTCTTGAAGAACCAGAGATGCTCAGTCCTGCCTCTGCGCTCAGGGCCACTCTGGCATATGCTTCCTCTGCCCGTGTCCTTCTGTCACTCATCACTCCCCTGGGCCAGCATCTGTGGCCTCTGAAAGCCCAGAGCTTGCACCGACTCATCTCTGGCAAGAAACACTTCCCTGTCCTAAAGCCTAAAACATGGAGGAAATGAAGAAGACATCCAGGCAGAGAAGAGGTGGTGAGATGGGAGAGAAAACAGACTGCTCAGGTGTAAAGTGTGTGTGTGTCTGTCTGTCTGTCTGTGCGTCTGTCTATCTGTCTGTGTATTGTCTGTCTGTGTATGTCTGTCTGTCTGTGTATTGTGTCTGTCTGTGTGTCTGTGTATTGTGTCTGTGTGTGTGTGTCTGTCTGTCTGTCTGTGTATTGTGTCTGTGTGTGTGTGTGTGCGTGTGTGTGTGTGTGTGTGTGTGTGTGTGTGTGTGTGTGTGTGTATGCACAGGCACATGCTCATGTATATTCCTACATGGGTACATGGAGGCCAGGGTTCAATGTCAGATGTCTTCCTCAGTCGCTCTACACTTCTATTTTAAGGCAGGGTCTTTCACTGAACCTGGAACTCACCAATTTGGCCAGACCAGCTGGTCAGAAAGACATAGGAATGCTTCTGTCTCCACACTGGGATTTACAGGTGTACACACCACTCTCCTGGTCTTTACTCCAGAAACATGCTGTGTGGCTTTGTCTTCTGGCAGAGGAGCCCGCTTGCAGAAAAATCTGGTCCCACGGGGTCCCAAGGCACACATGGGTCAAGCCACAGCATCACCAGGGAATATTCTTCCAAAGCAAGGTAAGTTTCCCCATGACATTTCTCTTCTCTGGTTACTAAGCAAGGACATCTCAGCCCTAAAGAATGCTGGCAGTGTCCCCAACAAGGAGCTGCAGGCTGACATGAACATGTCCAAGTATTGGTAAAAAGAATTACCCTTATTTAAAAGCAAAACCCAAAGCTAGGCACAGTGCTACATGCCTGCAGTTCCAGCTACTCAGGGAACAGAGGAAAAATTCACAGGAGCTCAGGGGCTCAAGGCCAACCTGAGTAACATAGTGAAAAACCCCTGTCTATTGAGACAAAATTTGTTGTACCCCAGGCTGGCCTCAAAGTCACTATCTGACCTTGAACTTCTGACCCTCCTGCCTCTGCCACCCAAGTGCTAGGATAATGAGTGTGTACCACAATGCCCAGTTTATATGGTGCTGGTGATCAAACCCAGAACCTCATACAGACTGGGCAAGCACCCAGTCAGCCAAGCTACGTCTCTGACCACCTGCCATCTTTTAAAGGCCATTATTTTTAATTTAAGGGCACAAACCTAGAGCAAACCCAGGCTGTTTGTTTTCCTGGGGTTTGGGAAGATTTGTTTCTGCTATTGAATTTCTGATATATTTTGATGTTAACACTTTGTCTCCAGGGTAGCTTGCAAATATTTTTCTCCTCTTCTCCTTTCTCTGTGGACCGTTTTCTCCAGTCATTTGCAATAACATGGGAGCTATTACATCAAGCAAAAAACCCATGCAGCAAAAGACCAACACCCCTGCCAGCACTCACGTGTGGATCTGAAAAAGCTGGCCTCAAAGCACAGAAGGGAAGTTCCCTGGGGCAGGGGAGTAGTCAGAGGACACAACTACAAGAAGACAGAGGGATCCATCAAACAGCAGAGCCACTCACACCATTGATGATGCATCCAGTTTCCCAAAAAAGTGCAGTGTGGACTTTAAACAGGATCATCAGAAAAACGGTAACTGAGACACGTCATTTGTTAACGAGCTAGCGCCTGCCACTGTACAAGCACACTTCAAAATACCATACTATAGGAAATTTAAAAACATGCAAGGTCACCTGACAGTTGACAGGAAGGGAGGGAGGGAGGGAGGGAGGGAGGGAGGGGAGAAATGTTAATCAAGGGCTGCCAAGACTCGCAGGCAAAAGCTCTTACTGCACAAGCCTGGGGACTTGAGTCTGACCCCTGAAACTCACGTAAAGGTGGAAGGAGAGAACAGACTCCACAAAAGTGACCCTCTGGCCTCCACACATGAGCCACAGCACACACAACCCCCACACATGTCCCGAATGAAACACACAATAATAATAATTTTAATTTAAAAATCAGGAGATGGGGAGATGATTCAGTGGTTGAAGGGCTTATGCTGGCAAATGTTGAGGACTGAGTTCAAATCCCAGAACCAATATAAATGCTGGGTGTGTGTATTAGTCAGGGTTCTCTGGAGGAACAGAACTGATAGAATCCAGCGGGTGTTCAATCCGCAAGGATGGATGTCTCCACTGGTCTTCAGTAGACACCTGAATCCTGAAAAAGTAGGCTCTAATGCCAGCGAAGGAATGGACTTGCAGCCAGAGTGAGAGCAAGCACGTCCTTTATGTAGGCTGCCAGCAGAAGGTGTGGCCGGATTAAAGGTGGGTCTTCCCACTTCAAATTATGTAATTAAGGAAAATCCCTCAGGTGTGGCCAGCTGTGTGGTTTTTAGTTCGTTCCAGATGTAGTCAAGTTGGCAACCAGGAAGAGCCATCACAGAGGGTGTGCAGCCTTTCTTAATTCCAGCCTCTGAAAGCAGAGATGGAGACCCCAGAGCAAGCTGGCTATGAAGAGTAGCTATATCATTGAGTTCTGGGTTTGACTGAAAGACCCTGCCTCACTGAATAGTGTAGAGAGCGATGGAGGATGACTCCTGCTATGAACCTTGGGCTTCCACGTGCACTACACACACAAACACACACATGAACCTACCCCCACACATGCAGACATGAACACACACCCATGCATACCATATACATGCATATGAAAAAGGAATAAGAAAAAAAAAGTCAAAACATAACCAAAACAGCCCTGGAGATAGACTGCAGTAAGGCCCCAAATTGGGACGCTGGTGCTAACTACAGGCTCAGCATGCATGTTGGGTGAAGATGTAACCTGAGCTGCCCCAGGTGGTGTCTCTGACACTCAGCTGCCAGCCAAGCCCCTGCTCCCTAATTTGGGAAGTGAAAATGGCCTTCTGCTCAGAACCTTCTCCACATGAGCCCTGCAGAAGATCAAAGGCACAGTGTCCAGCAGGCCCACCGTGGCTGGCATGAAGTCATGATTTGCAGTGTCTAGTCACAGAGCTTGGCTTTTTCCATTTGTTTGTCTTTGGTTTTTCATGGTTTTTGTTGTTGTTGTTGTTGTTGTTCATTTACTTATTTCTGAGACAAAGTCTCACATAGCCTAGGCTGACTTCAAACCATCATGTAGCCAAGAATGACTTTTAACTCCTGATCTTCCTCTTTGGACTTCCACATGCTAGGATTATAGGTGTACACTACCATGGCCAGTATAACACCTCATTCTTCATCCATCTAATATGTTATGACATATGATGGTATGGTGATATGTAGTCTGATATGGGAAGGGATGGTGATTCAGTATGGTATGGTACAGCATGGTATGATATGGTAAATGGTACAGTATAGTATGGTATGACATGATAAGGTATGATGGTATGGTAAATCATGATGTGGTTTATCATGGTATAGTTTGGTGACAGGTTTGATGTGGTATATTATGGTGTTGTATGGTATGGTATGGTATGGTATGGTATGGTATGGTATGGTATGGTATGGTGTCAGGTATGGTATAGTATGGTATATTTTGATATTGTAAGCTATTATATCTGGACATTACCATTTCCACTGGTCTTAGAAATCTTCAAATGCTTATATACTGCAGAGTGCCTGATCCTCAGTGAGAGGCCAGCACCACACCCGAGGGTCCCAGACAGGCCCTAGGTCTCCAGAAAAAGCAGAAGCCACTCCCTGCTGGGTTCTGCATGCCAACAGTCCCAACTCCCTTCCAGAGGAGTGTGCTGTGCATTGCTCTCCCTACAAGGGCAGGGTCAGAAGTCATCCCAAGAGGAAGTGTAGCCTGAGCCTCTGGCCTCCTATCTCTGTCTTCAGGAAGCCCACACCTCACAAATCAGGGTTAGGGTTAGGGCCGTGAACCCTGAGTGCCAGGAACTCTGCTCGTGGACTAACACCAGCAAACGCTTGGAGTCACTTACTTCAGGGTCAACCCCGGACCTGGGGCAGCAGCAGCAGGAGAAGGGGTCTCTCGCTGGGGTCTGGGTGGACACTTTATAAGCCTATTTACTTCCTGCTGGCATCTTTACAGCTTTTCCCAGAAGACTGTTGCCATGGTAACAGATGACTTCACCTTTCAGCTGTTCAATAAGTAAAATGACCTTAAAGTTTTTTAAACCTCTTTAAGCTTCATTTCAGCGATCCTAGGGGAAAAGGGTCTCCATCGCATTGACCAAGTCTTTTAAGTATATTAATTGGCTGTTAGTAAAGTTTTCTAAATTAGACTCAAAATTCACAAAGCAGGTGATCCTATCCAGAGTCCACCCTGTCATTCTGACGAGAACCCGGCCTTCCCTGAGGCTCTCATCATTCTCGTCAACATGTTTCTGCTTCCCAAGGCCCTCTGCTTGCCTGTAAAGCAGAATTGCTGTGGTGACCTGGGGCTTACCCCTGCTGCAGAGGCCACTGGCCCCAGCCCGTATGGAACCAGCAGGGTGAGGCCCCGTCTTCTAGAGGGTAGGACACCCAAGACTCCATCACCGCCAGCCTCGCTGAGTCAGCCTTCTGCTGTCTCCTCCCTCTTTACCTCCCTTATAACACTTGGCGAGGGCCACCTCATGCTGGGCACTGTGGTCCGAGTTCTGCGTACAGGAGGGCCAAGATAAAGGCCCTGCCCTCCTGGGTCCCAGGTTGTAGTGACAGAGACCAGGCAATATTCAAATACACATGTCATGGAAAGACAGAGCCACGGGGGAAACTGGGGACCTAGATATCTGGGGAAGGGCTGCCCAGAAAGGGGAACCACAGTCCCGTCTTGGGGACAAATCCACAGTGCTCAAGAACACTGGTCAAGGAGACTCCAGGGACGTGAGCTCGGGAGACCCTCTGCTCGGCAGCCTGCCACTGGCTGTCTCCCGCAGGCTTCCACTCCACGGACTCCTTGGGTTTTTCTTGTCCCAGTGACTCGGTTTAACTGAACCTCATCTGTATGACACCTTGGAGTCTTAATCTCATGCTGGATTTTTAATTTCTAAAATTTTCTTCATTCTCTTTTATAGTTTCTGTACTCTGCCAAAATCCAAAAGTTTTATTGACCGTGTTAAGCATAGTTATTTTAAATCCACCATTTATATTCCCTATCAATATTTTTCTTTTACCTCTTGATACCCCTCAATGTGAATCCCTCTCTTTCTCCCCACCCCCACGGTGCCTTGTCTCTGACACCAAATTATTCAAGTTGAGTGACAAGGGTGGGTGAAGCCCCTTGCTGAGTAAGTATGAGGACCTGGGTTCAAATCTCCAGCACCCACATCAAAAAAAAAAGCTGTGGCTACGTGTGCCTAGAACCCCAGAGCTGGTGGGAGCCAACGACAGGAGGGCCACTGGGGCCTGCGGGCGGCCGCAGGTTCCGTGAGGGAGCCTGTCTCAAGGGGTAAGGCGGAGAATAAAACAGGACACTGGTTGCCTTCCTCTGACCTTCACATGTGTGCATATACCACACAGATACACCACACACACACACACCACACACACACACACCACACATACATACCACACACACACCACACATACACACACCACACACACACACACACCACACACACACACACCACACATACACACCACACACACACCACACATACACACACCACACATACACACACACCACACATACACACCACACACACACACACCACACACACACACACCACACATACACACCACACACACACCACACATACACACGCCACACACACACACACACACACACACACCACACATACACACCACACACACACACACACACACACACACACCACACACACACCACACATACACACCACACACACACACCACACATACACACCACACACACACACCACACACACCACACACACCACACATACACACACCACACACACACCACACATATACACCACACATACACACCACACATACACACCACACACACACCACACATACACACCACACACACACCACACATACACACCACACACACACACACCACACATACATACCACACACACACCACACATACACACCACACACACATACACACCACACACACACACACACCACACAGACACACCACACATACACACCACACACACACCACACATACACACCACACACACACACACACACACATACACACCACACATACACACCACACACACACCACACATACACCACACACACACACCACACACACACCACACATACACACCACACACACACACCATACACACATACACACCACACACCCACCACACATACACACCACACACACACACCACACACACATACACACACACCACACATTCACACACATACACCACACATACACACCACACACACACCACACTTATACACACCACACACACATACACACCACACACACACACACACACCACACATACACACCACATATACACACCATACACACACACCACACACCACATACCACTTACAAACTCATACTCAAGCCACACACACATACCCTACATATATATACACACATCACATATTTACACACACATTCACACCACACACACACACACACACACACATCACACACCACACAAACAATAAATAAATAAATAAATACTTTTTTAAGAATTAAAGATATTCAGAGGCTGAAGAGACGGTTCAGTAGTTACAAGAACGAACTCTGCTCTTACCGAGGACCAGAGTTCAGTCCCCAGCACCCTTGTCTCTGCTCTCTTCTGGCCTCCGTCAGCACCTGTGCCCGTGTGCCCATACGCACAGGCACACACACATCATTAAGTATAAAATCAACTCTTTAAAACACGCATATCCAGGAATATATCTTGGTCTGCTCTCCCAGGCAAAGGGAAGCGCAGGCTTTGCGACCTGAATAGATGCCAGTCTTCATCTGAGAAACGGAGGAGAAAGAAGGGGAGAGGTGTGGTCCTAGATGAGTCCGAGGAAGAGCCCGGATCGGTCTGAGCATACTTGCTGTGGAGCGGGGAAGCAGTAGGGTTTCTGGGCAAGTATTCCTTGCTGATGAAAAGCCATGAATGAAGACCTGCCTCTAGATAGGCTGGAGCGGCGTCTTTCAACCAGAGGACAATACAAAGCCGGAGCCCCAGCCTTCGGTGACATTCCTAAACCGCTGAACTCCAGAAGGGCTGCTTCTGGGGTCTACAACACCGTGAGGGGCCGCGGGAGTGCGGGGTGCTGTTCTGTCTTGCTATTTAAGCCTCTTTGATTGGGGTTGCTCATAGCTTACAGTCCAAAACATCCCCGTGAAAATGAGCTCTCACCTGCTCGGAAACTTCCTGTCTGCAGCTGGTCTCTGAGAAAGCCTCTCCCCGGGTTTGTAGATGGTCACCCTCTCCCTAGGATCGCCCGTGGTTGTCCCCTGCATGGGTCCAGAGCCTGCCCCTTCTTAAAGGGGCAGCTTTTGTGTCTGGTTAGAGGCCCTGGGTCACCTCATCTTAATCGTTACCTCTTCAAAGATCCTGTCCCCAAACAGTGTTTCATGTTCCTGAGTAGTGTGAGTGTGTTGTGATGTGTGTGCAATCTGTGTGTGTATTGGACGGGGTGCAAGCAGGCGTGTGCCCCAGCATGTGTGTGGAAGCCAGGGAATGACCTCAGGTGTTGCTGGTCCTTGTCATCCACCTTGTTGGAGACAGGTCTATTGCTTCCCACTGTATACACCAGGCTAACTGGCCTCTGAGCTTCCTGAGATTGCAGATTCAGGCTACCCCACTGGGCTTCACATGGATTCTGAAGTCATGTCCTCATTCTCCTGTGGCAAGTCCTTTTCCCACTGAGCCATCTTCCCGGTCCCCAGCCCATGCATCCTTATCACATGCATAATTTATCAAGTAAGGCTTTATGAGGGAGAATGGCTTGCCTCAGGTCACACGGCTAATGGGCACCCTACTGTCTTTGATGCCACAGGTTTCAGCACCAGGATTCCACAGCGCACTGTCCGCCCACCATCACCAGTGGGTATCATTGGATACAACCCACAATGAAGACACCCAGGCTCCAGAGACACTGCGTCTGAGTAAGGGGGCCCAGGGCTCTGTGTCCTCACTCACAGGCTCCCCAGCAACTGCCCTGTGTTCCAGATGGAGAGACTCCTTCTAAACTGGGACTGACATCATCTGTGGCACGAGTGTCCCCTGGACCAGCAACTACCCAGAAGAGACCCATTTCAAGGACATGTCAGAGAGGGCAGGGAGATGATTCGTTCCATGGGTAAATTACTTGCTGCGATTCACATCTCCGACACCCATGCGAGAGCCAGGCACAGCCGGGTGTGTCTGTAACCCCAGCTCTGGGAGGGTGGAGGGTGGAGACCTGCAGATCCCTGGAGCACGGTGGCAAGCCAGGCTAGCAGAAAACAAGCTCTAGGTTCAGTGAGAGACCCTTTCTCAAAAAATAAGATGGAACATGGTGGAGTAAACACCTGAGGAGTTCTGGCCTCCGTGTGTTCACCTGAGCACACATGTGCACACGCACAGGGAAGGGCAGGGGAGGGGAGAGAGAGTACTAAGCATGGGCCGCTGGCTGCTGCTTGTTCTCGGAATGTTTACTATAAACACTATAAACAGAGATCGTTGAAGTAAACATGGATACGCTCTGGAGGTTTATTTTTAACTTTGCCGGGAAGGTGGCCATGAGCTCAGTGACTCACTGCAGTGTTCAAAAAGAACGTTTTCTCACACCCCCCAAATTATACCTTCTATGTGGAATCAGAAATTACTGACTCAGAAAAATATCCTTTATAGCACACGGTACAAAGAGCAGAGAATCACGCCTCACGACTAGAAGCCAGGGTCGGGGATAACAACACACAGCTAGCACCACCCCGAGGACAAGGGGTGTAAGTGATGCTGAGGCACAGAGCACGTGAGAACTGTGGAGGACTGATGACAGGGGACCGCAGCCAGCTGAGGTCACCACCTTCCCAAAGCTCCCACGAAGAAACAACAATGCTGACTCAGTTTGTCCTGGGCCTCTCTTGGATTTTCCAGCCAAGCAATACAGGCTGTGTTTGCAAGTCGCCTCAGAGTTTGGTTGGCAAAGGACGGTGCACCCTTGAACACGGGCTCAGGCAGCCAAGCGGAGATGCTAAACTCTGTGCATGTCTTTGTGTGGGCTGAGATCTGTTTTCTATGGATTACTACAGCACCCTACACCGTCCAAGAAATGTCAGACAAGTTGACCACAGCAATTAAGTTGTCTGCCATCTGCGAGGGGGCTTGGCTTACAGCTTGCTGAAGTTAAATATATTTTGAAGAGAAAAAAGCCAAGTTTTTCGATGTTTTGCCTATCTGTCAATCTCAGCCACGCTAGCCTTGGAGCGTCTGAAGGGAGAATTGTTCTCCCTCAAGGAATGGTTTAGCGTTGGCATGCTGAAATTTCAGAACCCGAGGAGCACTCCAAAAATGAACTACTCCTTGAGAAACCCCACATCTAATCTTGGGGTTGGCAGAGCTAAAGCCCTGCTCGGAAGTCAGCCAGGCTGTGAGATGAAGGTATTCTATCATCACCCCAGACGGCAAGTTCTTTTCCAGAAGTGCCAGGCCTGAGTGAAGAGCCCAATCTCACACCCCTGCCTCTGTTTCCTCACGTCGAGTGAACGTCTACATGTGACACTCAGACCTACAGTGTAACACTCACAAAACCCTCTGCCTCTCGGCTGCAGTTCCAGGCTGAGCTGTGAGGTCGGGAGGGAGGATGGGTCTGGGACCCTGCTGTGTGCTTGCCTGCAAACGTTCTGATCCGCTGTGGTCTCCCAACTTTGACCAGAGTGACTCTTCCATTCTCCTTGGAGACAAAGTATTCCAAGACCCGTGAAAGCACTGTTTTGCTTTGTTTGTTTTGTTTTTTGGATGAGGAGTGTTTCCCTTCTGAGCAGTGTGCCTTCCTTACATGATAGGAATTTCTTCTCATCCTAAGGTAATGGAAAGCCAAGTGTGGTGGCGCACACTTGGAATCCTAGTACTCTGGGGACAGAAGCAGAGGACTCAGAGTTCAAGGCCTGGATTACATAGCAAGACTCGGCCTCACAGAAAAGGACTAGAAGGAAGCTGGTGAGGATGGGTAGGTGGAGGCGGTAATGATGGCGGGATGCTGACAAACTGACTCCCTAGGAAGAACATCCAAGTCCCAATGTGCATCTGTGTCCTTTTCCATGGGGCAAATACTCTGACCACAGCCAATGTCAAGCCATTGTTAGTTTTAACAGTCAGGTGGCTATATTCCTAAATACTCAATAACCATTTCCCAGAAGCCGCGGGAGCCAGCCTTCACTCAGAAGTGTCTTGGCAGAGTGGAGAATGACCACCATTCCCCACATGCGTTAGTAATTTGTGTATATGTGCCAATAGCCCAGCCGGCACTGAGCAAAGGCCAGCAGAGAAGCTAGAGCAATAGAAGAGGCCTCTGCCATTAAGACCCTTGAGGACTGTGGCTGGGTTTGGGATTTTTGATTTGTTTTTAATCTGTTTAGAATATTCTCTCCCCTTCTGGACACAAACTTAAAAAAAAAAAGCAGACTGTGCAAGGAAGACGCCGCCACCAGGTGTCGGCACATGTGATATTGGGGGGAGGGGGGCGGAGCAGACATGATGGGCAGCAAAGCCCTGCAGATACAAAAGTAAAAGCTGGGCCTGATGGGGTGAGACAGCAGGAGGGTGGGAGGACAGCTCGGAAAGCATGAGTTCGATCCCCAGGACCCACATGAAAAGTCAGGCCAGTTGGTGTGTGTGTCTACAACCCTGGCAGAGGGCTGGGGGTAAGCAGCTCTTTGGAGCCTGGTGGCCAATCAGTCTGGCTAAACTGGTGAATTCCAGGACATAGCCTGTTATCAAAAAACTATGGGGTGGGGTCTGCAGAGGTGTCTCAGAGCAGCTGCTCCCCTTGCAGAGGACCCAAATTCAGTTCCCAGAACCCACATGGTAGCTAATGACTGTCTACAATTCCAGTTCCAGGGAAACCAATGCCCTCTCTGGCCTCCTCAGGCATCAGACACATGTGGTACGCAAGCAAACTCATACACATAAAATAAAAATAAATAAACCTTTACCAAAAAAAATGAGGTGGAAAGTAACTAAGGAAAACATCCGACATCAACTTCTGGACCTCTCTCTCTCCCTCTCTCTTTCTGCATGTGTCTCTTGCACACACATATGCACATACACATGTACACACACAATCTGTGGAGCAAATTAAAACCCAGATCCCCACGTTCACACAGCAAGTGCTCCAGTGACTGAGATGTCTCCCTGCCCCTGTCTTACCCATCAGGCCTGGTCTTCAACTTTTCAGCACAAGAAAGTGACTTCTATTCAATGACAGTCCACACAGCTTTCTAGAGCTTTCTTGCCCATCTGTCCTCATACATGCACATATCATAGAAAGAGAGAACAGCACAAAGAAGTTAATTTTTTGTTCAATTTAAGGAAAAACATATTACCTGAAATACCAGAGGAAATTAATCCAAGGTATTGCCAACAGCCCCTTCCTTACAGCATTCCTGTCTGGACACTATTATTCATATGCGTTCTCTGATTCTCACACCGTGTCCGGGCACAGATAAGGATGTCCCTTTAAAGATGGGGGAAATGAGGCTAAGGGAAGCCCATATTTTCTGAGGTCCCCATAGGAGAGGCAGGGCCAAAATCAAGTCCTGGTAGGAGTGCCGTGGCTGGTTTCCTGGCCTTAGAATGTGCTCCATCAGGAGGCAGGGAACTGGCTCAACACCCAATGCAATGTTCGTGCAAGTAGCTGTGGGCTGAGAGACACATGGCTCCGCTAACACAGGACCCATTCCATGTGGCTCTGAACTTCCAGAGAAGGCTGGTGGGTGGGTAGAAGAGTTCCCCTCAAGGTGGCCATATTGAACTGAGGGAAACTTCCAAGTCAGTGAGAACAGAGGACCGAGGCTGATGCTGGGGATAGAGCGTACAGTTAGCATGCACACGGCACTGAGTCAGAGTCAACAATAACAGAAAACTCAGGCTGTCACTCAAACCAGAGTAGGTGCTCAGCGTATCCAAGGCTTTGGCTTCCATCCCAGCACCACAGCAAACCATAATATTAATAATCAACATCGTAGCTGATAAAGGGACCCCAGACCACCACGGACACGTAACCTCAGGTACAGAGTGGCACAGATGCATCTTCCACGGGTTGGCTCTCTGTGGAGTGGCCTTTGCAATCAGACAACGGCACCTTGGGTAGGACAATCACGTACGTCCCTGTGGATGTTGGAAGCTCATCTGAGTTTACCCCAACTCCAAGCAATGCCAGGCCGGCTCAACCATACAGTCGTTTCCATGGGTTCCTTCTCCTCTCTCACAGCTACCAGGTATGTGTGCCTCAGGGCACAGACTCCCAGGAGTTTACATTCCTATCCAGAATACAGGAACCAAAGTGGCCACCTTGTATCCCCCAGAAAGAATGTAGTCACTTGGTGCCATGTGTGCATGCATGCACATACATGCATACACACACACACACACACACACACACACACACACACACACACACACGCATGCATGCACACTCAAAGGGTGAGCATTTAATGAATGCTTTGTTTTCTGGTAGCTCTGAACCCTCTGTCAATGAAAAATGAGCCCCCGTTCTTCTGAAGAGATTGATCAACCTCCAAATAACACAGGAGAGCCAAACAAACCACAGCATGCTCCCCAGGCATGACACCTCTGCCCAGGGCTGCCCACTTCTCTGAATTCCACATCTGCAGAGGCCCCTGTGTCTGGCTGCTCAGACAGAGAGAGCAAGCTGCTCACCAGGGTGTGGTGTCCTTCAGCATGAATATTATTCCTAACTCCACTCCACTAGGGGGCAGGAGAGTTCAGGAATGCCCAGGCTCTAGGGCGCTGGGCAGGTTTCTGAATCCCACTGGATTTTGTACTGCAGCTGAGAAGTGTGTGTGTGTGTGTGTGTGTGTGTGTGTGTGTGTGTGTGTGTGTGTGTGTCCCCAGAGGACGCCTTAGATGACATCAGTGCTTCTTCAGTGAGTTTCACCAGGAATTTTAGTCTACTGTCTACTGCTACAGCAGGATACTTGAGATTAGATACTTCATAAAGAAAAGAAGTGTGCTAGCTGGGTGTGGTGGCACACATCTACAATCCCAGCACTTGGGAAACACAGGCAGGAAGATTACAAGTTCAAGGCTAGCATGGGCTGCAGAGAAACCCTACTCCAAGAAACAAAAAGGTGAATGAAGAGGGAGGGGAAGGAAATGAAATTTTAAATCTTGCAGAAGGAACAGTCAATTACCAACATACCCATCTCCTAGGGTCACCCACAAAGTAGCAGAAGCAGGCAGCTTGAAGGTGGACTGTCCCACCTGTCCTAGAAGTCATAGAGGTCAGAAGTCCAAAGGCATGTGCCAGTCAGCACCAGAGGCAGGGCATCTGGAGTCACAGCCGTCCTTGCCTTGTAGATAGACGCCTCCTCTGTCACCACGGTCACCTGGATGTCCCCGAGTCTGCCTCTCATTGGCCAGCAGTCCTATTGCACGAGGCACGGCTCCACGGTTTCCTCATCTTAATTGGTCTCATCTACAGCAGCGTTATTTCCAATAAGGCATCTGCATGGGTGCGAGAGACCGACACCTCAACCCATCCCCTCGAGAGGCTGCTCCTGTAGGTGGCCCTCCCTCCGTCCACGTACATACTGGCGCCACTACACGGACTCTGTGGGAAAGGAGAGGGGGAATGAAAGTGGGGAGGGAGAGGAGGAAGAGACATGAAATTGGGAGGAAATAATAGTGTGGGAGCATAGAGGAGGAATGGGAAGGGAGGGGATGGACTTGATCAAAACGCATGTATGTGTGTATTAAATTCTCAACAAAGAGAAGAATTTGGGGAGCTTCAACATAGCCTTTTAAAAGAACTCAATTTAGCCCATATCACTACAAAAAGGTAAAAATGAGATTTTTCACTGGGCCTCTCAATGGCAACAGGATGTAAAAAACAAACTATAAAGAAATGCATATTTTGAAAGAAAAGCATTTTGATCTAAAAGCAAGCATAAATCAAATTACTTCACACAATGGTGTAATAGTGCTATTCTCACACATTTATCATTTCAGAGAATTTGTTCCACAAGCTCTTTGGAGAAAATCCTTGGAAGGTTTAATATGGCCAGAAGGAAAGGAAAATGAATCCAAGAAAGAGACTAAATAAATAAGGCTCTGTGTACATTTCATCCAAAAAAATATGTTTTTAAAATTAACAAGTCAAAAATATTAGATTTTCAGGCTGGGAATACATCTCAGTTGGTAGAGTGCTTGCCCGGCATGCCCAAAGCCCTAGGCTCAATCCCCAGCATACACGAACTGGGTGTGGTAGCGTACACCCGTAAACCCTGCATCTGGAAGGTAAAGGCAGGGAGATCAGAAGTTCAGCTGCATGAGAGTCTCTCTCAAAGAAGAAAAAAGTAGTTTTCTGCTGCCTTGGGTCCAGTCCCCAGCAGATTAGTTTTCTGCTGCCTTGGGTCCTGTCCCCAGCAGAAGACCCAGAGGCAGAGGTTCAGAAGAGAGGGGTTCTGCTGGAGAAGGGCCTGCTGTTGGAGGTCAGCTCAGGTAAAGGGCTGGCAAGCAGGTAGGCAGCGAGATGGGAAGCAAAGAGGGAAAAAAACGACAATACCAGGATTCTTGTGTCATCTGGGGAAAAAAGGAATGAGCTTCAAACAGTAAAATATGACACAGGGTGTAGAAATAGGGGACTTAGTGAGCTAGGTTGACAGGCAAAGTCAGATGAGAGTGTCCAACCTCCAGCTTCACATGCGGCCGAGGACAGCCGTGAATGTGGCCCAGCGCAGGATCATA